TACTCAACTTTGTTTGGAAAATGACAAAGACTACAATCATTAACTACTTCACATAGAAGTGCATTAGTTATCTAAAATTGCATGTCTAAAATCGATTTTATGCACTCTGATTCAGTGTTAGAATTCCAGAAAAGCAAAGACAATGATTTGCGACACAATTTAATTAACTCAAAAATGACGTAGCCTATATGACTGATTTATTTGCCAAATTTAATGAAACTAATTTGAAACTACGAGGTGACCAATTAAATTTAATCAGAACTAAAAGCATAATATCTGCTTTGTTGCAAAACCTTTTTCTGTACAAACAAAACTTGGGAAGAAGAGAGTGGTCTCAGTTTCCAAATCTTTCGAAATTGCAAAATAGAGATGAAAATTTGCTTGCTTACTGTCAATACCTAACTGCTGTTCATGTAGACCTGAACCAAAGATTTGAAGACATTCTTCACTTGGATATTCCTGACTGGGTGTTGAACCCTTTTGCACATGGACAAACTCAAATCCCAAACATGGATGAATTCAGACTAATACAGAAGTAGTTTATTGAAATATCCACAAATGAGAAACTTAAACCAATGTTTGAACAAGGATACCATGAATTCTGGTTCCAGAAACAGATTCCAGTTTTATATCCTGTATTATGGGTTTTTGTACAGAAGTTGTTGACTGCTTTTCTGTCTTCCTGTTTGGTAGAATATGGATTCAGTGCCGTTATGAACCGCGTCACACACACACACACACACCACAAAAAAAAAAAAAAAAAATCGACTAGAAATTAGTGATTATGGGGATTTGCGGTTGCTGCTTACAAACACTGAGCCGGACATAAATACACTCAAAAGCTCTCATCAAGTTCATCCAAGTCATTAATTTTTTTAAATTTTATTCTAAACAAAAGTTATAATTTCAATAAATACTTCTTCAACAATTTTTTCCCCCAATTTGTAATTTTTATATTATGCATTTATGTAGCTTTTTCACTTCGGGGTCTGTGGGCAAGTTTTGACTATAAAAAGCGGTCCATGGGTCAAAAAAGCTTGGGAACCACTGCTCTACACATTTGGAATTGTTACATATATATATATAGTGAGAAATTTAGAACTAATACTTCACAAAGACCAAAAATTGAAATTCATAATTAATAAGTTTCAAATAATCTTATAAATGCAACAAAGAATTTTAAAAATGTTAAAATCAAGCGCGAAAATACTAGGCATGTTTATATTTTGTTTTCAAAAAGTATTGTTTTGTAATTAGCTATATATATAGAAAATTTTTAATAACTAAGTTTGCTAACTACATTTTTGGTTAATTTGAATATCTTTAAAGAAAGAAAAACTGATAAATTGCTTCTTTGAAAGATAGGCATTAACTATCTGGAGAAGGATTTTCTAAGGATAACTGGCTGAAATTTATAGCTTTCTTGGTCTAATTTAGAATTTTTGATTTACTGGGGAATTTCCTGCACATACATAAAAATGATAAGTTACTAGAATTTCTGAAAATTGTATTATTTGCATGTGAACTTCAAATCCAAATTATTCAAATAATAATAATTATAAAGCCAAATTCAAATTATTCCATTTCTTTGGAAATAAAAGGTAGATGGAGCTTCAACACACAGCATGATGCATTGTACCTAAACATAAATTAGTCCTATTGCAGCCTAATCAATGTAGAAAAGGCACAAAGGAGTGCTAGTCCGATATGTTAGATGGTAAGCTAATGACAGTAGAATAACAGGAATAATAAATTGCTCACTGGAGATTTAAAAAAATAGAGTTCCTGTCTGAACCTTAAAGTTTCTGGATATGCTGATAAAGACAGGTGTATAGGTTATTCTTATATGTCATCTCAACTGTTAACCAAAATGTGCAAAGGTTTCAGGAATCGAATGTTCCCTCGTTGTCTTTTTTCCAAGTATCAGTTACAACCTAATACTATTGTATTTATGAATGCTTAGCATGCTTGTCTTGTTCTCACATTAAGAAAAAGCAAGGTGTTCAAGTTAGAAATGTAATATATTTTTGAAAACTTTGTCTGTTTAAGTTGTTTTAGCAAGGGTACTCCTATTTGTATTGTAAATTTAAGCATTAAAATATGCTAAAAGGAATTCTGTATAAAATTAACAAAGCAAATGAATTGAACTAAATCTGTTACATATTGAAAGAAATGGAACAATTTATTAGCAAAGATAATAATAATAAATAGCTTTTCATAGACTGAAAACCAAAAATTTTCTGAAGATTGATAGAACAATTTGAAGTTAGCTTAGTGGGAAAACTTTTCAAGGACTACATGATGATTCATAAAAGTGATCAGGCCATAAATTCACCAGTTAAAAAATATCTGTTTTCTCATATATATATATAATGCAAAATGAGTAAATCATCAATTCCTGTGATTACTGATTTGATTCGGAGAATATAAAATAGATGTCTGTGCAGAAATTGTATGAATTTTGAAGTATAGATTGACTTAAATATTTATACCACTTTTTAATCCTGTCAAGTATTCATATTTTAGTTTTCTTGACTGTTATATAAAAAATAACAATATTATATATAGCAGTCAACAAAACTAATATTTAATCTGTAATTGAATAATATTAATTAATTATTTTAATCAATAATTTATTTAAAATATTAATTGATGTTAATATTAATAATGATGATTATTTTTTAATCATTGGATTAAGAAATTGGAATGAAATTTTTGGCATTTTAAAAAATTAACCACTAATTTAAGGAAATTGTAGGACAGCTAAATAAGCTATCTAGAGAGTAATTACTAAGAAGATTATCCAGAAATGAGAATTTAAGAAATATGAATTTTTTTTCCCGTGTGTTCTAGAAGTTAACACAAATGTGTTGCTTGATTTCAGCTACTCAAAATTCTTGAGATGTTACTTTAATGAACTTAAAAAGGTTTGATTTATTTGATTATTTTTTGAAATTACACTCTTTTGCAAAAAAAATCAAAGCACCAAGAAGGACTTTTGTGATCCTGATGGAATTTGGTATGCAAAAACATCTTGATCGAATATGCAAATGATCAAAGTTTCAAAACAAATGAACAGGAATTGCGATCATAGCGTGCATTTCTAGTGCGCAATTCGCAAATTATAAAACCAGTAACAGAAGCGGAAAAATTTATCTTTTTTTGTTCTGCCATTGTATTCCACAAAGAAGCAACTAAAGATGCCTTATGACGATATCCAAGACCTTACAGACAACTAAACGACTTCGAACGTGGTTACATTGTAGGATTGCGTGAAGCTGGGTGGTCATACCGAGCAGTAGGCCGCCACCTGCAGCATACAGACACTGCTGTGCAAAGTTGATGGCAGCAATGGTTGCTACAAGGAAATTGCCGAAAAAATGAAGGCTCTGGAAGGCCAAGGAGCACAAATGCGAGGCAAGATAGGATGATTGTTCACCAGGCCCGAACTGCCCCAACAGTATCATTGTCAAGTATTCAACACACTACAGCAACGTCTACACCTCCCGTGGTATCGTTCACCATCTCACGCCGTTTGTCTGAGCAGGGTTATGCTCACAGAGGCTTTTGAGACATTTGCCTTTGACCCCCACAACATCGGAGAGTCGTCTGGAGTGGTGTCAAAGCCGATCATTATGGCTGCCATCAGACTGACATTGTATAGTGTTCAGCAATGAATCCCGCTTCACTCTTGAAGCAGATGACCACTGTGTTCGTGTCTGGAGAGGACAGGGCCAGCAGTCCCAATCAGCCTTTGTTTTACAAAGGCATAAAGCCATAACCTTGGTGTGAGGGTGTAGGGTGCTATTTCTTATGACAGCAGGTCATTTTTTGTCTTCCTCCATCCATCTTTAACAGCTCAACGATATGTTGATACCATCCTGAAGCTGGTTGCATTACCCTTCATGGCACGTCATCCTGGGGCCATTTTTCAACAAGATAATACCAGGCGACATACCACTCGCATATCTCTGGACTGTCTCCGTACGGTTGATACTCTTCCTTGGCCAGCAAGATCACCAGACCTTCACCAATCAAGCATGCCTGAGATATGGTAGATTCGGACACCACAAAATATTGTAGATCTGGAGGGATAACTGATGAATGCCTTAATGTGTTGCAAAATGACATTAGGAACCTCTACCACTCCTTGCCTCGACAAATTCAAGCATGCAGTGCCACCTGGGGCGGTTCGACCAACTACTAATTTGAACACTCGGTGGGTGACTTTGAGCTGTGAACACGTACTATGACCTTGATTTTTCAATCATTTTATTATCTCTGTATGAGCTATACACATATTCAATTTCATCAAAAACAACCACTTCCTTCATGGTGCTTTAATTTTTTTGCAAAAGCGTGTATTCGATTGATTGTTTATTTTCAAAAACTGAATAAATTGCATAAAACATGGTGTCTAAAAAATTTAAACATTAATGTGCTATGTTTTTTATAATCACGAATTAATTCGGCAACCATATTACTTTTTTGATGTAGTCTATCTGTGACCCATTTAAATAGTAAGTCTTAAATTAAACGAATCATTTAAAGTATTTTCTCAGCTGTTACATATATATGAGTATTGCAACTAATCCAGATATGTTCTCAGATGTTTTATTAGTGACCTGCAATTGCTTTTTTTCATGTATTTTCATGCTATTTGCTTACTCCGTAGCTATAATTTTACTTCCAGCCTGGTTTTAACTTTCCTAAATATAAAGTCTACCTTTGATGTAATAAAACAAATTCTTTTATTTGAATTTTATTCTTTTTTAAATGCTTGGGAAAATGTTAAAGTAAATGATACATCTTATTGTGGTTACATTTGAGTTAAAAAAATTACAGATCTGAATTATTTGTAACTTAAATATAACTAAAAAAGACATGACATTAATTTTTGTATTTTTTAAAATTACTGTTTGTTTTAATTTTTAATAGAAGAAACAAACTGTATGCTTTTAATATTGTGCTGATGTATTTTTTAATTCTATATTAGATGACAGATCTAGGTCAAAGGAGAAAAAAAATTTTATTGGAAGTTTGAAAAGGAAGTTAAGCTTTCGTAAACCACGGTCGAAATCAGCTGAAAATAGATCAGAATCTGCAGAATCTAATTATAGTCATGGGAGTAGTCGCAGTGCTTCCACAGATCGCTTTAAACATCTTCCTGGTCATAAACTTTCTCCGTTTAAAGGAAAATTTATCGGTTAGTGCATTTTTAGAAATTCTTTACCTTTAATTAGTTTCTAGTAATAAAATATCGTGTTTCAAGTTTGGGATAATGAATGTGTAGATTAGTGGTGTGTGTGTGTGTATGTGTAAGTGTATATATCTGTATGGGTGTTTGTATATATATTATATATATATATATATATATATATTGTATAGGTGTGTTTATAAGATATAAATTATGAAAGACAGTTACTAATAAAATTACTTTAATGATAGTCCTTTTAATTTCTGATTTTAACTTTAATGCATCTCCTTTCAAAAATCCATATTGCACGATTTGCATCGTCATTTAATCTGCAGTGCTGTGACCTTTTATCTAATGGAAACAAAGGAACCAAGGAAACAAAAAACTACATCACCTGGGAAAAAGTGAAAAAGTATGCAAAAAATTTAGCTACTGTATATGCACTTACTCCGTTGCTGTTGTATTGCAAGCACATAATTAACCACTTGGCAGTTTCATCTATTATCTGAAAATGCTATTTGTTTTATATAATATATTTTGTGAGTGCAGATAGCACCCATTGTGCTGTGCCAATCAAGGAACTATGTCTTCATAGTTGTCAAGTATTATAAAAGCATTGCCATATCTGTGATTTCTATAACTACTCTGGCCACGATTGCAGAGGTAATTGAAGTCTTCTTCTCTCATCATATCATTTAAAATATCACAGGTGTGTATGTTATGTATGTGAGGTGTGTATGTATATACAGTAGCACACAAAAAAACTGCATCACCTGTGGAAAAGTGTGCAAGTAATGTGTTTTGTATAAATATACTACGCAAGGATATCATATTATTACAACAAAACAAAGTTGTAGGATTGAGCTTAATCAAATTTTAGTAGGATTAATAAATTATTTACATTTAATTACTCAGAAAAATGAAAAGAATAAAAAATGCAGTATTTAACAAAACACGGAACAAAGCAAGTAATTTAAAAATTTTGTAGTTAATGTAAATTATACATAATTGCAGCCATCATATTATGTGTAATTGTATGTGTTTACATTCACAAAGATCACTTCAATATTTAGTAAATCTTCCACGAGCTGCAATGAATTGGAAGTTGATCTTTCAGCACTATCCGTATCTTCAGGGCAGATGTTCTATTTTATTTGGCTTATAATTCCTACTAAATGTAGTATTTCATCTCAATGTACTCCATCTTTGATATGATTTAAATCAAATTCCTCGTCATTATAATTCGCTTCCGATAGTGAAGAAAGGGACACAGAGGTTATTGAAAACGAAAAAATTTCAATTCACAAATTAGTCGGTATTCTCAACACAGCAATTATAGGACTTCAGCAGCAGAACTTTGTAACCGAACAAGAAATTATGTCTGTTTATAGAATTAAAGAGAAAGTATTATCACATAAAATGAAGCAACTTTAACAACTTACATTGAAAGAAATGTTTAATAAAGTAAACAAATAAATATTAAGCTTTTTTTTTTTTTTTTTTTTTTTTTTTTTTTTTTTTTTTTTTGTAAATTTTGATACCCTTTAAATCATAATTGTTCTTTATTTCATAAATTACGGTTTCATATTTTTAATTTTATAATTTCTGTGTACCATCTTACCAGATTTAAACTGATGATCTATAATTAGGAAAAACTGATAATTCGGAATCTCCGAAGTCCCGACGAGTCCGGATTAAAAGACTTTTGACTGTATTACATGGATATCTGCCAATCTGGTGCATGTGTATGACAATTTTTTCGTTCATGATAACTCTTATATAACAAACTTCCAAAAAAAACTGAATTTTTGGTATTTTAGCTTTCTGCATTTATCTAAAAGCAGATTAGATATTTTGGGTGAAACTGCACACCGGAAGTGGTAGTTTACTTAACCGTAAAATGTTTTATTGGACTACTGTAAGAGTGGTACTAAACTTGAAGTGAAAAACTATATTAAAATATAATCCGAAACTTTGTTATATCCGAACTGGGACATGTTCTAACTGGGGTGTAAGGATGCTTCCATGTCTCATTAGAGGTGAATTTTATGCAAACAAGCTCCTTTTTTCAAAATTAATTTGAAGCAATTGAGAAATGTGAAGTTGTGCAGTTTTTTTAATCTTATAGTCTGGAGAATGGGGATGAGCTTAATTTGCAACACGTTCACTGTATTACTTGAATTTGTTGCACCAAAGCTTCACTCTTGATTATGAAAAGGTATCTTTCCTAAAATAAGCCTGCAATCTATGGTAAATTTTGCGTATTTTCATTGGTGACTGTCAATAGAAATGTACTCCTGACACAGATTTTGTCGGCTGCTAAATGAAGCATGGGACAAGCCAACTGGTTTAGTTCCTTAACCCTAGGCAATCCAACTTAACGACCTCAGCTGTCCACTCATATGCGGGTACTTTTCCTGATGCTCAGCTAGTAAAAGCATATTTATACTTGATTGCCAGTAAAGCTAAATGAAGCATGGGACAAGCCAACTGGTTTAGTTCCCTAACTCTAGGCAACCTAACCTAATGACCTCAACTGTCTACTCATATACAAATAAATTTCCTGATGGCCAGTCAGTAATGGCTTATTTATACTTGTTTGCTGTACATGTTTTTGTATGTTAAATTTATATAAATCTGTAGTCTTAAAAATATCATGTCCTAAATATACTTGATATTATGTGTGCTTTTTATTTATATAAATAAAGTACTGTTTGTTAATTATATTTTTTTCTTTTATGCTTCCAAACATCAATTATATATGGTAAGCTAATAATTAATTGCACTAAATATTTTATATAACTTTTTTTCATTTCAAATAATTTTCTCATACCTGTAGTAATTGTATAGATTTACAATTCTAAACTGCCATATATTAATTAGTTTCCTTTCCCTACAGGACAAAAACATTTAGCTGTTCCAGGTAAGATGTAATTCACTTAAGAATTTGTTTAGGTCCATGAAATATGAAAGGAAATTTTAAAAATGTTTTTTTCAGGCAGCACTCGTAGTAGCTTAAGTGAAGCTTCAGGAATAAGCGCCTCTTCCAGCCGAACCTACATCAATGAAAATTCAACTTTGGTGGTAGAAACTAATGAAAATGGTATTATTAGGTAAGTGGTTTCATAAATTGAATAATTGAAGTTTTTATATTATAAAGAGTATGTAAAATTGGAACTCCTTTTCTGTTATGTAATGTTAGACGAAACTTGTCAGTCTACACTTTTTATAGAAATGTTGATAATCATCATTTGATGGAATAAATTGGATATCACACTGTAAAAATTATCTTCCTTTCTTCAGTTGTGGATGGTGAAGCTCTAAACCCAGCACAGCCTACAATTGAGAGCAACTGTTGGAGTTTGGAAAGGAAAGGTTATACCAAGAGCTTGCCTAAGTAGTTTTTCAATATGATAAGATTCTTAATGCATGCAGAAATGAATAAATGCAAAGCAGCGATTGTATACTAAAATATGAAATTATATAATAGTAATTATATACTAGAGCCGAGGTGCTCAAACCAGGCGTGCAAGGCGACCCGGCAAGCTTCGTTATTATTATTATTTTCCTGCAACAATCTTTCTTGGGGTTGCACATAGAGAGGGTTCAGTGGGGAAGGTGTCAGAAACTTGGTTGTGGTCTTGTCTTGGGTTTTGGAAATATCGAGAGTAATGGCGTGTCTTAACGTGATCATTCTTATCACCTCTGTCCAATTTAAAATGACAATGCAAATGTGCACCTTGGGCCTGGGAGGTCTGGCTACCCAATTTCTAAAAAAAGAGGGAGAGATAAATTCTGGAAATGCCTGTGAATGACATGTACATGAACTTGAACGCAGCTACTGAGAAGGTCGAAAAATTTCACCGACAGGAGTAATTTCTGTATTATGCCTGCAGGTCAGAGTCGACCCTTGATTCGATTGTATGACACAATCTATTCAGTATTAACAAGGTACAAAAGGCAACTTTTGACCCGCGTTCTTCACCAGGCTTCTTCGAGTTTTTGGCAGTGACTTTTTTACTACTGCAGTGCCATGAGTGGGCCCAGCAAAAGCTAGAAGATACATAATTACAATTCCAGCTGGGAAGAAACGTATTGCTTTCTTGATGTGAAAGGAAAGTGCGTGTGTTTGCTGTATGCTGCAATTCTGTAGCATTGGCCAAGAAACACCTAATATGGAATGTCACTCGGTTTTTGCAGACGAATCATGGAACTACCCGGAAAGAAAGCCTCGCTGGAAATTAGGAAGAAGAATGTATGCGAGCTGAAAATTTTAAAATGCTTTACAAGTGTTAGCAATCAGTATTTTTAAAGGCCTGTTTACTAAAGTGCTAAAAATGCAAAAAACAGCTTAGTTTATTAATTTGACTCACTGTGATTCTGGTGATTTCATGCGCAATTAGATAAACCATTTCACGATGCTGAGTTGCATGAATTGTAAGCATTATTTCGACAAAAAGTGTCAACGGATAACATCTGTTGACGGATTTATCTAGGTAAACGAAACGAGACTTATCGAAGCACTTTGTTATTTTAGGACTGTTCAATTATCTTATAAAACCCTGTTTTTAAATTAGATATAGAAGTTACTTGATGATTGACATGCAATTTTCAAATATGAAGAGAGACTTAGAAATAAATAAAAAATGGTTTTCTCTCCAATTTGATGAGTCCACAGATATTTCCGACATGTTGCAGTTAGCTGTTATGAACTTGAAGATTAGGTATCTCGAAAGCTCGACTTTTATATTACATCACTAAATTATTAAATTTATAAAAGCTCTTTATATGCTAATCAAACTGGAATAAAGAAATGGTTCATGAAATGAAATTCAGTGTATATTTCATGCATAATTAGTTGTTTGAAGCAAGAGGAATTTAATACTTGTATTATTTAATTCCTTAACTTCTATGACAATTAACATGCCTTTTAGTAGAATGATTTTTTAGCAATAAATATTTGCTATAGCTGCCTTAATGAAATCATCCAGCAAACAGTATCACCAAATCCATCTCTGATACATCAGCACGTGCATCTAATAAATCCCCCAAAATAACGTGTTAGACCGATTTCTTTGGAATTTGAGCATTTATATGTGCTTGAAGAAATTAAATGTAGCTAAGGCATTTGCAAAAATACCTTTAAATGCGTTTTCCTTCTACCACACTTAAAATGGCTCAAACCAGTTTTTGAATAAATATTACGTTTACTAGAATACGTCGTTTTGCTATATTTCTAGCTAACAGTTTAAACGTCTTTTGTCTCTGAAATAATTTCTTCCTAATTTATGTAATTGCGAATCATTAGTGCATGAAGCAGTAAGTTTTATAATTTTTAGCTTTTTTAAGACGTACTGCAGTTGTTAATTTTTTTTTTTTTTTTTTTTTTTTTACCTTTATTTCTGAAATTTCATAAAAATGAAATGTCTGATATTTATATATTTTATGTTTTTTCCTAAGAGATACAAGCAAGTAATTCAAAGCTTCCCCCTAATGAAAAAACATATCACTGAGATGAATCTTTTGTTTTCTTGTAGAAATGATTGATTTTTCTTATTTAATTATTTATCACCACTTTTGAAAGTACCTTAAAAAGTACTGAAATATTATCAAATGTACTGTCAGCAAAAAAGAATCACTTCTATTTTCCCGTAGAAAACATTGATTTTTTTCTGATTAAATTATTTATCATCACTTTTGAAAGTACCATCAGAAGTACTGAAAATTATCAAAAGTACTGTCAACATAAAAGTATCAACTATGTTTTCCTTTAGAAAAGGTTGATTTTTCTCGTTTAGGTATTTATCATCAGTGCAGGAAAGTACCTTTTCTGTTTTCGGTAGAAAAGATTGATTTTTCTTTTCTTATTTAATTACTTATCATCAGTTTCGAAGGTGCCATAAATATCCTTTACTTCACACGGGCATAAGGAATACATTGAACAGTGAAAATGCTTGAGTGTTTTAAAAAAAGCAAGAAAACTAGCATTTATTATACGTTTCCATAAAAGTGTCACCAAAATGTAACTTCATCAAAAGAAAACATATATCCTTCTTTTCCACTTTTTAATATATCATTGAAATTTACTGCGAAGTTCCTTATTCTTTCGTATCTTTTTCTTTTCATTATTTAGCTGTGGATAATGGGAGTCAGTTACCCGGATTCAACCGGCTGTTCATCTTGTGGAGTTCGTCCACCATTCATATAAAAATCTGCACTCAAAACATAATTTTCATTTATTCGCTACCAAAAGAGGGTCTGAGCGTTAATACTTTATGAAAGTGCATGTTTTTATTCTCATGAAGCTGAATACACGAGTCTCGATTTATTTCAATTTCTAAAATATTTTTTGCTTGCCTTTAGAATGCATGCAACAACTGAAAAGCGAGAGGATTAATATTTAATGCCTTGAACACTCGTTCCGGGTCTCCTGCTCTACTGAACAATAATACATGTCTGAATAATTATATGCTTCCTGCAACCGGAGATGCTTTTAAGCTTCCGGACGATGATGGAGTTTCTTTTATGGAAGAATGTAAACAACAACATAAAAAAATGTAGGGCTTTAAAAAATCTAAACTAAATACTTTTGGCTCTTCTAGAACTGTGGAAGGATTAGTCACAAACACATTCTTATTTACTTTATACTATTATCTTAAGACTTATAATGTTAAGAAATATAAATGACGCATTAAATCATCTTATTAAAGAATGAGTAAAATATTAATTTATTTTTGAAACGTTTAGTTATTTTAATCAGTAAATTTTGTTTTAATACCTATGCTTATTCCAAAGAATCTAAAAATGATTTTATTTTGCTGAATATGGATTATCATGTCGAAAAACATGTGATTCAAGGAGTTTATATTCCAGAGCTGTTAAGACTCTTAATGATAGATTTGTTATTGTTGTGTCGTGACTTATTTCACTTATGTGATGATAACATCAGAACAAGCCCACGAAACATATCGTGGCAAGGAAAGCAAGATTGCGCCTGTCTTTGGCAAGAGCCTTGAGCACCATACGGGTGACTACGACTTCGCTCAGTTCCGTCCCCACTTTTCATGGAGTTCACTCCGGGGGGAGGGCTCGAGGGTCTCCCACCCCTCTTTCCTTACCCCAAGCCTCTCGATAGGACTTTCGCCGCATATTTAGAGTGCCCTCCTACCGCAGAGATCCTATACATCTACAAACATCATGGATTCCTCGGTGTCTGAAGCCGGGACCTTCGGTACGGCAGTCAGCGTCGCTAACCACTGTCCTGATTGGGTGGCATTATAGATTTCAAAAGCATAAAGTTTGTCACCGAATATTTCTTTCTAATTTCGTAAATGTTTATTCAGGCAGCTTAGTTATTTTACATGGGTGGGGTTAGAATGTCTTTAGTCTTGCAATGATTTACGTCTACAAATCAAAGTCTTAGTCTTTTGATCGATATCTTTCGTCATTTTGACATGAAGTGGACATGCGTCATTTGAAAATGTGCAATAAACTTGTTCCAACTAAATAACATTCAGTTAAATGCATGTGTGTGGTAGGCGCCCAGGAAGTATATATTAGTAACAGTTTGAATTGAATCCATATCAAAGTCAAGAGAAAGACCACTGTCTGGCATAAGATTTTGAAAAACCAACCCACGAGTTCCACACTCAGGGCATTTATATTAGAGCTTTGAGCTCACAACATCGATCTTTATTCCACGTCGCCCATCTTAGGCTCACATCGCCTTTGTTGTGTTACCACTATCAGTTAAATACATGCTAAGATATAATTTCTAATATATTTTTACAAAAAAAAAAAAAAAAAAAAGAATCCTACTTTCCCTTCTGAAATCAAATTATCCCTCTTACGTTAACGTGGCCTTTGTTATGCTCCCGCTATCAATTCTTATTAAAACGAATAAACAGAGCCCTGCTCGTCTATTAAAACAACTTCCCAGAATAATGTAAAACATTTAAAGCAGAATTTAAGTACGCAAACATGAAGCAGTTTCACTCTGCGTAAAGCTAGGACTGAGCCGGGTACTTGTAATGTAATAAAAGAAGTTAAAATTAATAGCTGCATTATAAGGTATAATACTAAAAATATTGTCTCTCCCCTTGGCGAAAATCAGCTTTAATAGATAATTTTATGTTATTTCGTAAC